TTCTGTGGGAGTTTCCAGGATCTGTGCACTCTGGGGGACTTCATGATGCAGACACAGATCTGGTGTCAAGCCTCTGCCTAGTTCTAAACCTACAGAGGCCAGAGCCCTGCCCAGGGGCTAGGCCCAGGAAGGGAGGGGGACAGGCAGGGGGGGCTGGAACAATTTGTACAGTGGGGGGGCGGAGAGCCATTGAACCAAACTGTAAACCCTGTATATAATGGAAACCACTTCAAGCCAGGGGGTGCAACACCGCCAGCACCCCTAGTTCCAGCACCTATGGGGACGGGGAGAAATAACACAGGCAGGCAAATACAAGCTTCCGCGCCCCCCCCCCCCCTTGAAAGCTGCGGGGATAGGGACGACTTAGCATCTCCATTGTGTTTCTGCCTCCCCCATCACGTGGGAGGGGTGTGAAGTTGAAAGTCTCTGTCTCACTGGATCTGGGGACTTGTGCAGCCCATTCTCCTAAAATCTAAGCGATCTGGAAAGAACCTGAGCAGAAGCTGAACTGGACACCTCACGGACCGTGTGGCTTTAATAACCGAGGGGCTGGGATTCCCTTACCCAGCGAGGTCACCGTCTGGTAGTTCTCCTGCATGACGTCCCTGTAGAGGGCTCTCTGAGCGGGGTCCATCAGAGCCCCCTGCCCCTGGGTGAAATACACAGCCACCTCCTCAAAGGTCACCGGCATCTGAAACAAGAGTCCCTCACTCAGCCCCTGCTGCCCCAGCCACAATCCCGCTAGTCACGGGGGAGGAGGGCCAATAAAATGGAAGCTCTGGGGGGGACAGAATAGTAGAATCCCACCCCCACCCTGCTCAGAGCAGCCAGGAGGCTTCAGGGTGGGGAGAAGGTGAGCGCTCCTTGTCCCTCCCATCCCAGCAGATGGAGGAGACCAGGGACCTTCATGTTCATCACATTCCTACCAGCCAGAGGGTGATACGGGAAATGGCGCCCCCAAAACAGGTCCAGGGAGAGAAATCCCAACCCCTCACCTTCTCAGGAGCTGGGTCTCCAGGATGGGACATCTCGCCTGTACCTCACCATTGTCTGCTTCTGGCTAGAAGTTTCTGGCTCCGGCACTGGGAGTCTGGTAAATTTCTCCAGCCTTGGGTAGGGGGGTTGTTCCCTGTTGTAGAAACGGGGGAACTTCTACCCTCTTCCAATGGCCCTGATCTAAAACTCCAGCCCCAGGCTGAGGCGTCCCAGCATGTCAATGACCTACTGTCCCCGTCCTCCCTCGACATGTGCTATTTTCTGCCCTCTTCCTTTAGCAGCGACCTCTCTTCAAATCCCTTACCCAAGCAGGTTCCGCTCCCGCCGTTTCCCGTCCCTGTTTCATGGTCCGATGGGCCGATCTGGAGCGAGACGTGGTCGTTATTCTGCAGCCTGTCGGGGAGAGAGGAGCGACTGGGGAGCTTTCCGAAGGGGCTTTCATCTATTTCACACCCCCGCCGCCCACAAGGCTCTTTCTCTACATTGTAGACTCTGCCATGCTGGGAAAACGCTGGGTCACTTTATCCTAGTGCAGACCCGGCTCCTCCTACCAGGACTAAACCCACCCAGAGAGTTTTAAACCCTCCCTGTTACAAAGTCACTGTAACAAACGCTAGAAAAGAGCAGAATCAACAGGCCCACTTCGGGGGATTCCCCCCCACAAGAGCAGAGAGTCCCCCCAGCAGCACGGGGACTCGGAAGAGGCAGGAACTGACTTGTCCTCTCTCTGCTCCTCACTGTGGCAATTTGGGGGTTCAGCCCAGACCCTAAGGGGTTTTGTCACCCTGGCTCTGCAACTCTGGATGCCTTAAATGTTATGTTGTTGTGACTCGCAGCCAGCAAACAAGTCTTGCAGTCACATCCTGGTTTTCACAGTGTTGCCAACTCTCAGGCTTTTGTCATGAGTCTCATGATCATTATTGTTTTCCTTAAAGCCCCTGCTCCTGGAGTCAAGTGAATAGGTGACCATTTCAGCTTTCATTCTTAAAGAAAAGGGCAAGTTTCTAGCCCTCGTGGCTGTAGAGAAAGCTTCAACGTGTGACCCCAGTGCACCCGAAAGGCCCAAAAAGCAGAAGGCAAATAAAAATCTCTATTATTTTTACATGACCTCATGATTTTAAAGCCAATCACATGATTCTGGGTGAGCCTGACTCATGGTTTTTGAACATTTGGGGTTGGCCATTCCGATTTCCTCTCCCGATTGAACCCCTGATTATTTCTAAACCTACACAGACCAGAGCCTGTTCTGTTGGCAGAATGACCCCCCAAAATCCCCGCCACTCCCGAATTTCCCCAACACTGTCTCCCTGCAGCGTCCTGCTCTCTCCCAGAACAAAGTTCCTTAACCCCACTTCAAGAGGCGGGAAGGTGCAGCCTCCATCTCCTGTTGAGATTAAGAGTAGTTCTCAACCAGGCATACGTGTACCCCTGGGAGTACGCAGAGGTCTTCCAGGGGGTACATCAACTCATCTAGATAGTGGCCTAGTTTTACAACAGGCTACAGAAAAAGCACCAGTGAACTCAGCACAAACTAAAATTTCAGACAGACACTGACTTGTTTATACTGCTCCATAGACTATACATTGAAATGTAAGGACAATATTTATATTCCAGTTGATTTCTTTTATAATTACACGGTCAAAATGAGACAGGAAGCAATTTTTCATTACTAGGGGCTGTGACCTTTTGGATTTTTAGGGCTAATTTTGTAAGCAAGTCATTTTTAAGTGAGGTGAAGCTTGGGGTACGCAAGACAAATAAGCCTCCTGAAAGGGGGACAGTAAGCTGCAAAGGTTGAGAGCCCCTGTGTTAAGTGATCACACACACACACACACTTTGCTCTCCTCATGCCTTCATCAGCCTGCCATGCAAATGTGCTTTTCTTTGTCTCTGGACACACCTTGCTCCATGTACATGGGAGACACATTTAAGCAGGCAGATCCGCATTCCTTTGTCTCTGGAAAAAAACAGTTTATCAACTCCCCCTGGGCCCTGGCATGCCTTTTAAACACATTTCCCGCCATAATTTCAGCAGATCTATATACTCCGTTGTGGATCGATCATATACACATCTTGCAAAATTAATGATCAGTGAGTTCTTGGCTTCCCAGTGACATATTACATGGCATCTTCTAGCTGCGCTGAACTGGTCAGCCAGTTGAAACGCACAGCTAGATATAGGCATAGAGTCTCACACACCTTGTTCCCATGAAATTCTGCCCAGGGACAGATGCAGTCAATGGAGCAGGGCAGGTTTGGGAGTTGGGAACCTCTCTCTCCATTTATTGCTCCTGCTGCCTCTTTTAAGTCTTTCTCTCCCTTTCTATTTCATGTCGCCTCTCCCTCTGGCTGGGAGACTTGGTTACTGTCCATTCCCGGGGACACTGGCTTTCCCAGTAGCTAGATCGGCTCCTGCGAGCGCTAATGCGAAGGAGAGCCTCTGGGTATCAGTGGCGCAGCAGCTCTGGTTTAATACAAACAGGAGGAATTCTTTTTCACATGATGTGCAACTAACCTGTGGAACTCCTCGCCAGGGGATGTTGTGAAGGCCCAAAGTAGAACTTGGTTCAAAAAAAGAACTGGATAAGTTCATGGAGGATAGGTTCACCAGTGGCTATTAGCCAAGATGGTCAGGAATGCAACCCCGTGCTCTGTGTGACCCTAATTCTCTGACTGCCAGAAGCTGGGAGGAGAAGACAGGAGTGGATCTGTTCTGCCCTGTTCTGTACACTCCCCCTAAAGCTCTGGTACTGGCAACTGTCACCGACAGGATACTGGGCTAGATGGACCATTGGTCTGCCCCAGTTTGGCCGCTCTTATGTTCTTATCCAATTGCTAGAGAAGAAAAATTGGTGACTTTTGCAGAGATTTTATATCAGGAGGATTCAATAAATGAGACAGGAAATTAGGAAATTCTGAAGCAACTTATGTAACCTGGCCAATTAGACAGGAAAAGGCTAAACTGGAGTTGGTTTTATGGAGACAGGCTGCGTCTGGTGGAAAGGACCCCACAGTGGAGAGGAGCCACTCCAGTGGCGGGTCTTTGAGGAGCAAAGAGCTAGGAACTCAGAGAAGCAGACCTAGGAGCATCGCTTCAGGAAGGGAGCAGAGGCAAGTAAAAGTGGAAGATGCCCAGAGCAGGGGCACCTGAGATCCCTGGTGGGGGTGGCCCTGAACCGGAGACACAGGAGTGAGTTTGTTTACTTCCCTGTTTTAAGAAAATAATCCCCTTTAGAGGAGGTTGGGTGTGGCATAGCGTGGGAGAGGCAGAGAAGCCCTGCCTTGTGACACAGATATTTGGAGGGGAAAAGAAGGATGTTTGGTGGGGAATGGTTAATCTAACCCCATTAGTGCCCCGGAGACAAGCTGGGGGGGGGGTCCCCCGTGGAATTCCACAGAGATGATGTGAGGTGATGAATCCCGCCTATGCCAGGCTCCAGCCAATCCCCAAGCCAGAAACTGGTCATGTGACTCCCAGACCAGATATATAACCCCACAGGAGGAACAGCACAGCTCATTGTCACTCCAGGGCTTGGAATGGTCTCCTGCCTGATGGGGGGCAACAGACTTCCACGCCTTAGCCTTGCTCCAGCCCTGTTCCTAGTCCTGCTCCAGCCTCGCTCCACCTGTGCCCCAGACTCCTGATTTTGGCTCTGACCACTAGGCCTGACTGCCCCAGCTCAGACCATTAGGCCTGACCACCTCCATCCCAGTGTCTGACAGCTGGGTAGAGCTCCCCAATACTAAAGTGTTTAACCCATCACAGACCAAAGGTCTAAAAGCACTATATGACAGAGGGCCTGTGTTAATGAACAGTGCAGGGGTTCCCAAACTTTCCCCCCCTG